TGTAGGATAGAGCTGACCAAAACTGACAGACATTCTTCAGTCGTTCAATAGAGATTTTCCAACACGACTTCATTCGTCAATCTAGTACAGTCGCTCATGCAAAATCGTCGTTGTATGATTTAAAATATATTTTTTTTTTTCATTCGTATTATAATTTTAAAATTATAACGATGAAATAGTGCAGTTTATTATTTTATTATTTATGTGTATAAGTGATATTTTTTTCTTTTTTTTGTGCAGGTATCCAAAAATAATATCATACAATGGAAATCATCATGGCAAATTTAAATATCATGGTATTATGAATAGATCTATAATTTTTTTTTATAGAATTTTATTAATAACTTATAAATTTTGTTTTTATTTAAATGCATTGAAACTTTACAATTCTACTATTTTTAGGTAATTCTGTGCTTCATTCAATTTGTGTTTAGCGAAGACCGAATATCCGTGGACACAGTAGGTACTATAACAGCCACTGCGGGTTACTCTATATCAGATAGTCAATCTCCAACTATTAAAAGCTTGACTTCGAGTATAGAATTTTCTGGTGATCACGATTCTTCCAAAGACGCGTCTTCATCAAGTGAATCTTATACGTCATTGACGCCTGCCCTCCGAAGTTCTCAAAGTTTGTCGTCACGATCCAGACAAGCTAGAGGGAAATCTCAGAGCCAGACGTGGAGCAGTGAAGAAAAAGACATTGGTATCCCATCTTTTTCATTGACCGATCACCGAGTGAATGAACAATTATATAGTGTTAAACCACAAACGTTTGACAATMAATCGCCACAATTATCCGACATTAAAAGTAATGAAAGTGTAGAGAAGTCTGCTGCAGTATCATCTATTACATATGGAAAAAAGATGCACAAAAACGACGGTCACGACGATCGACCCGTTTTCAACGATTGGTCAGAAGAAGTACACATGTCATTCGATAACAATAAACCAATTAGATCACGTCGGAAGAATAAACACCAGCTAGACAGTGAACAGGAAAAAAGAAAAACGCAGATCAAAAAATTAACGGGAGACAGTAGTGTCAATAAGGATGGTTGGCAAGAATTAAGTCCCAATATGGAGATGGCCACTGGCATTATTACATCAGTTCAAGAGCACGATTCTTCACAAGAATCATCTGGTAGTTCAGGTATGTTGAAAAATAACTATTGATATGAAAATATTTTTTACCTAGGTACTTGCAGTTATTATGATAACTACCAATACAAATATAAATATATGATTATTATGAGTCAATAGTTAACAATAAAATATATTTAAAAAAAATAGCTTAAAATACATATAATTTWTACTTCCACGTAGAATGTGTTAGATATTAAATATATAAATGTACGTAATATTTTTATTTAATTAACGACATTAGCTGATAAATTATTATTTAAGTATTTAACTGAACTAGTGCTGACTTTTAAATAATTTTAAGCATAATCAACTTAAGTTAAGGGAATTATTTAAATTTTTAAACAATAATAAGTTAGGTATTTATTTTTAAAATAATAACTTTTAAGATAATTTKTTTCACAATAATMTAATATTCATACGAACGTGAATTGTGGACGTATGAGTAGTTAATCAGCATAGTCAGTAAAACTAATAAACTGTTAGGGAGGAGATTATAAATATTCCAAACTTAAATTATTAATATTAATAATATTACTAAGTTGCGAAACAATAATGGTACGTAGGTATTTATATTTTAAACATTTATGATATAATATATATTTTATATAAGTATAATCTATAATACCAAAACATCATATTAAATTGGTGTTTATTTTTTTATCAAAACAACCGTACAAATATAAAAATACTGAAAATACAAATTTTATCAGTTGTATCTTATTACTAAAAAATTTTTAATAATTTTTATTGACTAAAGTAATTATTTTATAGTTGCATATTTGKGTTCAATATTAACAAAATTTTCTATTTAGAAAAGGAATTTGAGATTTAGTAAAATGTAAATTCGAATATCTTCAATACATTTAAATAGATACAAAAATATCATCCATTTTACATTCCTATATAACTATTTTTAACTAACCCTGCACACTGAGTGTACAGTGTACCAGGTACCTACTATAATACTTATATGAAAGCACAGAATGAACTTAATGGTAAAAAAAGCAATATTTTTAATTTTCAACAATATCAAGATTAATTAAAATATATGCACACCCAACATAAAAATATACTCTTTTCACATATCGGTGAATCTATTGAATAAAAATAGAATGCATCTCATATAAAATGTGTAGTCATTTTTTTTTTTTTATAAATAATTTAGCATTAGCATTATAACAATATATCGTCATATACGTCTTGTCTTGCACAGCTAACGATTAGTACTGCGCGTTAAACATGCAACTGAACAGATCGTTGTTCGACATTTAATTACGAAGAAAAAGTGTTAAGGATGCAGCTTATTATAATCGAAACAATAACATTTTGGTGGTATGTTTTTTACACCGTCATCGTATTTGACGACGACGAAAATAAATTACGTTTAATATTATTATTTTATTATTGATCACTACGAACCGTTGGTAGTGAAAGTGATTTAGTTCTGAATTTTTTTCGTTACCATTTCAAAAATGAATAATTTCGATTTTTTTTCATGCGATTGCTACTGCAGAAATGTTTAAGGCTCATCATCAGCCAGACCTATACAACGCAGACGGCATTTCCAGCCTGGAAGAAGTGACGCAACAGGCTGAACCACAGAACTTCAACCACAAACAGGTTTTGTCCAAAATGAACCATTTCGACTTCAGCAACGCCGTGTCGCAGGTCAACAAGTCACCGCCRCCCAGGGAAAAGCGGTTGAACTACTTGCAGCCGAGTGGAATAGGTCTCCCGGCGTCCAGGTATCCGTTTAGCGGAGGCGGGCCATTGCAACAGTCGCAGGTGCAGGCTGTCGGGCCCTCTGCGCAGCCACACTCCGCTGCAGCTGCGATCGCAGCAGCCGCTGTTAAGTCCGTGAAAATCGAACAACCATCGGCGACTCCCAACTACCACAGCATCGTGGTGCCCATACCGATCTCGCACCAGATGTACGCGGCCATCGGTGGTGACCCGTCGTCCCCTGTGCACGGCCACCAGCTGGCCAGCAGCACAGTACAACAGGCGATGATGTCGTTGCCGGTCGTGCACAACGTGTTCTTCAAGACAGACGAGAACGGCGGTGGCAARACCATGCCGGCCATCGTGATACCACTGAAACCGGAATACCTGCATCAATTGCAGCAACAGCACTACGCACACGCGCAACAGCAACAGTTGGCAGTTGACGACTCGCTGAACGCTGCCGGACACCAACTGCCGGTGCACCAAGGGGCCGCCAAAGCGTTGCAGTTCCAACAACTCCATCAGCAGCAGATTCAGCATCAGCAGCAACAGCCATCGGCATCCCCGTCGTCAACGTCACCGTCGTCGTTGACGCCTTCATCTTACGCGCCAAAGCCGAAAACGACAAAAGTCAAAAAACCGTTCGGTTTGATGAAGGACAACGACGTGCAACACCGCGTCAAGCAGCCGTTTGGCCTGCAACACCAATTCTACAACAACCCATTTGCGGGTGGAGCGGGAGGCGCCGGCCACGTTCAGCTGCACCACGCCGGCCATCAGCAGCAACACGGCAGTRGTGGCCACCAACATTCGCAACTCGACGCAACCGATGATTCGCGATACACGCAGACCGCCACCGTRCCCGCACCGGTACCTATTCACGCGTATTCGGGCACTGGCCATCCGATCGTCGTCAAGCGACCGCACGCTTACGGTTACGTGTCACCCGCATCCCAGGCGTCAACCAAGTACGCGCAGGCTGTAAATAAATCACCACCACTAAACCATCACAGCCACAACAACCATCACCATCACCACAACAACCTTCACCACCATCATCAGCCGCAGCAGCAGCAACAGCAGCAGCCGTCCACCGAGGAGTTGGCCGCGGCCATTGCACAACAGCAGCTGATACAGCAGCAGCAGCAGCAGCAGCAGCAGCAGTTCAAAGCGACCACGTACCATCCGGGTTACGCGTACCTCAACGGCCCGGACGACGATTACCCGTACAAGCCCATTTACAAGGACATGAACAAGCGYAATGACGTGCTGGTCGTCCGAACCACTGACGGTCACGAGTGACGGATGATCTAGGTACCGAGATCTTGAATTTTACACCGAACCTATTACTTAAACATTATTCTATTTTATTATAATATTATCATTATACACGTATATKTGAACAGACACGTAGGCACCTAATAGGTGGGAGGGGGTTCAGGAGGGTAACCCGTGGCATCTCTTTTTTAAATTTTTTTAGCATTTATTTTCGTTCACAAGATACAACATACAACACTCGGAGTTACACAATTTAAACCAATAAGTWAAACTATTCAAAGGATATCAGCCTAAGTCCATTATTTATTGTCTCTCTCAAACCCACTCGCTACATTGGTGAAAAACGCTTTCGCCTAAAAATAAAAATCACCCATCACCAAAAATTATAGAGGATAATATTTTTGAAGGACATGACATATCAGTTTTATATTTTATTATTATTTGACCTTGTAACTATTCGATTTTCAAAGTAAAAAAAAAAAATGTTTATTTTTATACAATGTTTAAATAAATCGATATGTCATACCCCCGAAAATATCACTCTCTATCGTTTTTGTAATAGGTAACTTATTTTACTCTAAGTTTTCTCAAACRCATAAAAAAAAAAGATTCTGCATAAATACTCGTACGTTTTTTTTCAATGTTGCGCATAGGCCGGAGAGAAAAAACAAACATTGAACTGACTTCCTCTTAATTACAGAAATAACCCTCCCACATAATTTTTTTCTCGTATCGTGCCCGTAACGTATATATACACCTATGTTATACTATTATATATTATGTATACCTATGTCCTGTATAAAGACTAAAATGTAAAGATAAGTTAATAACGTGTTTTGTTGTGATTGTTATTAATTCTATGCGATAAATTATTATTTATAAGKATCTTTATATTATATTATGCAAAAAATATGTTTTTGAGACGTATTGAAATAATTATATTATAATATAATATGTGCAATTCGCCATAGTATACGTGAACAATAAATCGATAATATTTTGTATTGTATTTCGAGGAAATCTAATAATATTGTATGCTGTTCGAATTCCATTTTGTACGTCATCGAGTGTTMTAGAACACATCCGGTTAAACCGCAGCAGTCCATCATATTAGTTAATTATTAGCGAACCTTTTTAATATTATTATTATTGTTATTATTTTGTATTTTTGATTCGACAAGGTTATACAAAAATGCAAATAGTTRGAGTGCAACATTTCTCGACACTGTGATGGTGTCATCAATAATAAGGCACATATAAGTACATTTTGGTTTATTGCCCAATCCTCCGGACGCACGTTCATGTGTTATAATTTTTCGACCACCTCATCATCCCCTCCCACCAATTCTTTCAACACCCTAGGACGTCGTTGAATTTTATGCTCGTCCCGGCATGCGATCGCTTTGCTTTCACAGGTACAAAATAAATATATTTATTTATATTTTATACGAATAATAATGTAATATACTATACTGCTATATATAAACACATACACAATATTACTTCAATAATTTGCCCATTAAAATACGATTTCCAAGAGAAATGTTGTAGAATTAGTGTGCCTACGAATTTAATGTGCATTTATAGTGTAAGTGGTCATTGCTGCATACATTTTTTTTTTTTGAACACGATCAACGAAACGAAATGCGAACACACCGATTTACACACCATTATACCAGCTCCCGAATCCGTTACGATGTTATTTCGTCCGTCATTATTCGACGGAATAGTATCATTATTACGTATATACGTGCCCACTAATCGCTGAATATCAAATTCGTTTCAAAATCAACGGACCTTGTCGTTTTCGTCTAATAAATGATGTTACTTTGCGTGACTGCGTGTAGTGTATATCAATGAAGTTAACGATTCGGAAGGCTAATATAATATATGAAACATTCATGTCGCAAAATAAAATACATATAATTGGATGATAACTACTCATAAATATTATATAATATAATTTGCATGTATACCTCCTGCATAGWGTTTTTATTTTTACGATATTGCAAAAAATATCGTAGACTACTCGTTATTTTTAAATAAACTAAAATACTAAAATATATTATATATTACACTGAAAAATTGAATAATAACCTATTCAAAGCGTTGAGTTACAACAATTGTATTATTTTGTTTACTATTAAAAGTGGTCTATWAGTAATTTAGAGAAATTATAATAGGTAGTGAGCAAAACATTATACAAATGAAAGCAATTAAACTTGATTTAAAATAAAATAAATAACAACTAATAATATATTATAAACGAATAAGAACCAAACGATCACGAGCAGCATTTTATGGTTGATTTGTTGTTTTTTTATAAAGCTATAGTTGTTGATAAGGGTGAATGATCATTATAAACCGTATCGTTGTCAAACTATTGAACTGCGACGCTCAAGTTAAAGCGGTTTAAAAAAAATAAATAATAATTACGAATATCAGTTTATCAATACATATTTATATTTAAATTATTGTATTATGGTTTAGCATAGGATAGGTAGTCTAGGTAGGTATAGTAATGAACATAAACAAATTAAGCTTAATTGTTTTTTCTTATCGTTATTCGATTATTTTTAGGTAGCWATGTATAGTTGTATTTTATTGTTTTTGCCAAAACGTCATGTTTTTTTCTACAATTCTTTAAGTTTAAAACCTAATTAATCAGAGTGCCAATAATGGTAACGTGCTTAGAAATGCGATCAGATGGTGCGTGRCATGATGACGTTGACGATGATCGATGTGTATGTAACATTGCAACGTGCATACAGAGCGGTATATGCATATTATTTGCATTTTACAGTAATGCCATCCAACAATATATAAGGCGCCTGAGCACGAAAACGTGAAATTTAATAATTTCATGCTTTCCCGTGCCCGCCGGCCAGAAATATATACAAGGTCCGACGGAGAAATATATACTCATATACGCATTTTCGGACGATTCACTTTCAATGATTACCTCAGCTCGATGAACTCGGGCTAAACGGATTTATACATTCTCGCCTTGGACGCGGACCGCGTCTTGTAATATCGTATAGAAAGTGAAATTATTCATCATACGGCACGGAAAACAGTTAGGTACGTATAATTAGGATTCCGTTTTTATTTTGATCATATTATTTACAGGGTGATTGTTTTAACATAATACTTAAGCGACATTTTTTTTTTCACTGTTGTTTGTATATAGTCGCGATTTATTTCTTTTTCTTTCATAAATTCCAGCAATATCCTTCAGCTTATTCGAAATTATACACATGTGAAATTTAAAGTTTATTTTTTAAAACCTTTAAACAAAATATTTACTATTTACTATTACACATTACACTGTGTTATTCGTACAGTTATTTAGGATTTAAGTTTTTAATCTTCCATTCTTCTACAATTTTAAAGTTATTTAATAGTAAAACAATATTATATAATAAGTGACTTAACCAAAAATAATCACCCTGTATACTCATATAGACTATAAATTATACTAATTATAGTATGACGTTTCCATATTATAATAGTAGATAATAATAATAATAATAATAATAATAATAATATAATGTAGATATGGTGTATTTTTTTATTGTTATATTTTGTTTCTATTCTAACAATAATACTTTCGACACGGTAAATAATGTGACAACGATACTACAATAGTGATGTTCCAAAGGTAACGAATCGACGACATATTGATCACTGAACATCATCATTAACCGGCGTTAAATATTATGTACTAGTCAGATACATATTTTAGCTTCGTAAAATTATAGTTGATCATATTTTATTTCGTTCTTGAAGATTCAATAATATTATATTCAACACAATTTTTTTAATTATCTTAGTTAAATGACGCACGAAATAAAAATAATTCCCTTTTCGATACTGTATATAGTTGGACCTAACCTAACCTATATAGTTGGAAAACAGAAATGTTATAAAAAATTAATTTTTCATGGATTAGATCGTTATTTTTCGTAGATACTTTTTTAAATTAATAAGTCAAACAGTTATGAACTTAAATAAACTAAATTTGATATGATAATACATTTTTGTTTAAAATAAAATAAGCTATATTCAAATTGTGGGTCGTGAACAATTCAAAAATGTATACTTATTATTTAGCATTAGATATCGAAAAGATTGCTTACTCCAGATTTAAGTAAAACAGTAAGCACGGTGCGTTATGCACAAGTATAATTGGTTTTATTGTACACAAATGTACAATAATGTGTACCCCTGAATTAGTCATTTGTTATATTGCAATAATTGCTATGCATCTAGGTRTCATAATTTAGACATACGTAAGATATTGGTTAGTGGTTGTATACTTCGATTGAAAAATAAAATTATTAAACTGTGAAACTGTGAAACAAAAAGAAAAACTTCMTTGATTTCCTAAGTATACCTATCACATATTTATTTTGAAAATCCAATGAAATATAATATAGTTTGTACAATTGACGCACATGCACGACTAAAATTTTTTTAGTTTTTTTTTAAAAATATGATCAGACAAAAAGGAATTTATTTTAATTTTTATATTTAATGATTAATTCCATAGAAATTATATGCAATTATAATGTTGAAAACTTTATTTTTTTTTAGTCCACATGGAAAATATGATATTATCGTTAAATTATAAACTGTTAAATTGATAGGCATGAAAAATATCTACGTGTGAAATAAAATATAAATTGTGTATTTGAGTTATGCAAATGAATTATTATTATGAAATGAGATTATGTATACCTACCATTTTAATGTCGACAAAATAGCACAATATACGCTAAACTGATTTCTCAATAAATATTAAATATTATACAATAAGACATAATAAAACCATAATGTTTGAATTTTGTTTGCAAATATTGTATAAGTGACATGAAAATATGAAAATATTGTACCCACAATGATCTATAAAGATTTAAGGTTAAGAAAGAATGATTATTTTAAAGATAATTTTCCTGATTCTGTTGATATTTAAATCTTTTTAACTAACACTTGATAATAATTTATAWACATAGATTGAAGGTTATTTATCAATTTTATAATAATACGTCAAACTAAAAAAATATTTTAGTAAGATTATTCACAGTTTAGGTATGATTTTGAATCAACAACAATTAAAATTATTTAAATGAAAAAAAATATAAATTATAAATTGTTTTGTTATTTGAAAATAATTATTGAAATAGCAGGTGTTGATTATAAATTCGACTTTAGTAGGGTTAAATCGTTTAATAGTGAAAATGCCGCAGTGTTACCCTATGTAAGTTATTGATACATGAAGAAATTCACCATATTTATTAACTAAATCTGTGTACCTGTTATAATATTATGTATAATTCTTAGATTTCAATAAAAAACTATTGTCTGCGATGAAAATTCTAATAGGTACTTTGCTTAAGATTATACTAAGTTATTATTAATGATACCTTACTTAGAATAGATAAATATTTACTACTAAAATTTGTTATATATACTAATAATAATAAAAATTATATTTAGTAAAACATATTATTTTTAAACTCACTATAATTTTATGCTTATATTAGTACTTGAACATTAAATTATTATCTAATTTAAAAACTGAGCTCTTCTTTAACAACAATTTTTAAAACGCATTGCGATTTTATAAACTAAGTGATAAATATAAAATTCAAATTCCTTCATTACTATGTACGACATACGAGTATTTAAATACTAGGTATCGCAAATGTATATAATAAATAATATAATAAGTTACATAATGGTATATTGTATGACGACATAAAATCTTGGATATTAAGTCGATAAGACAGGAGTGAAATATTTACACACGTTGTAATCGATTTATTTATGCATTCCTGAGTCCGTCTAATATTACTATATTAGTATATATTTTGTCAAATATAATATATTAGAAATGTACGAAAATGTTTTATTATGTTATTATGTAACTTAATTTCTTATAATTTTCAAATAATTATTCATAAACATGTGAGTGTTTGAAATTTAAATTTKTTGTGTAGGTACTGCTTACTATTTAGATACTTATAAATTATAATCAATTTGCATGTAAAATTTGTTTTCGTTTTATAACCTACAAAATTATATGGATACTTGTTTAGTGGTATGAATATATGATATTTATTTATCGGTAGATTGATATACATTTATTTTAAATTTTTACATGGAGTTTAAGTACAGTARAATTAGATAATATTATTTTATTTATTACCTACTTTCTATTTTATTTTAACTTCAAACTTACACAAGTTTCACCCAATCCMTATCGGTAAGCTTAATCTAAAATTCTTCTGAAATTAACACAGAACATATTWATATATCATAATATTGTTAGTCCTAAGAAATCATACTAAATTGTGATAAATATAGTAATTATATAAATTGATAGACAATTAATAATCCAGTACAGTGACATAATAGTTTTGAAAAACAACGCAAATAATAAGAAAATAACGCCTGAAAACGAACGAGTAGGCAATACAATGATGCTTTGGAACCAAGTAAAATATTGTCATTTTATATTTTTCATATAAATCTACACAATTTYGACAGAGTTTACCCATCGAAAAAACTAGTATTCGGCCAGTAGATCGATGCATATAAAACAGAACTACTTAGCATTTACACAGCTGATTGCGGTACTTCAGCAATATTTCCAAGTTGTTTAGATCAAAACCAGTTGTCATGATAGACAATATTTATGGATGAACAATCAATTATTGGTCAATATAAACACCTAAGAGGACGCCACACCTGAATTTGTTGTATCAGTTTTACAAACGCATAACATAGAAAATTTACACTCAGCCGTTTACGTCTGATTCCGTTAGCTTAATAATTTGAGTGAATAGGCCTATAATGAAATTTGACTGTAAGAACATTATCTGTGTTTTGTTGGAAGTTTTTTTTAATGTTTGACTTGAAGTAATTTCAGTCATAGATAGCGCTCTTTGAATATGTTTTATTAATATTGTTAATAATATTTCAGAGAATTTATTTTAATTAAATTTTATTTTTAATGAAAAAAATAATATAGGTTACCTGTTGGCTGTCGCCTAACGAAGAAATTYGACATAACATAATATATTGTATACTGTTGGCTGAAAAAAATAACTTTTTATTTTATTTTGTTTTATAAATAATTCTCAGGAAAAATAACCACATATTTTTATCGTAATTTATCAAAGAATATGATCACATGACACAAGGCTTTTGAGTTTTTAGTTCATTAATCATAATTCCCTGGTCGGTGGATACTAACGAGATAAATAAAAAGTTTTGTAAAAAATGTGGATCATAAAAAAGGATCATATTTTAAGTCTACTCGTAGAATTGAATAATAAATTTATATAATATAATACATATTATATGTATTGAATTATTGATTCAATTATTGTATTATATTATTATTGATATAATCATTTTTTACTTTTTTTCTGGTGATACTAATTTACTATATTATTCACTTAAATTTGATTCTAATATTATACTATATATAGATATAAAGTATCAATATAAGTTCATGTATGAATGTATGATGTATATTAACCTTTTCGACTGCTACACAGTGTTGCAGTACTGCCAGTACTACAGTAGAGATTTCCACTTCATTATGGTATTTTCATTTTAGCACCCTCTGTTTGAAAAAAAAAAACATTCATTGAAAATTAAACTTTCAGTTCAGATATGGCAAAATATACCATAATCACGCCTTCGGATGTCGTGGTGGACTCGAAGACGTAGAAAAATATACTCTACGTCTACTTTTGGACATTTTCATAGGTGATGTTTACTTACGTGAAAATTGATGGTAGTCATCATCTTAAGTGGATTACAAATTCGGCTACCACTGTACACCGTCCACGCATTGGTAGAATATACTAGTAGGTCACTCTTCAAAAAGTAGTCACAATATTTTTAGTTGTCAACTAACTGCCTATTTTCCACGTCCTCATGACATTAAATTCTCGATTGAGCAGTTTTTGTATTATCATCGTACTAATAATATCATAACGATCTACAGTGCAATGAAATTCTAGCGGAACGATATAACATGAATAATTACAAGTTATATCCATAAAATATGTTTGTGAGCCTCATAACTTACTGTCCGATAAAATGCATACCTAGTTTTCCAAGTATTACATGCCGAAAGCAGTAAGACGCATCGTGTCAATACCAACATTTATTCACAGCTGCCTTGCAGTGATAGATACATTTAATCTTTCTATGACTGTTATTCTTGACATTAAGGATATTTAGAATTATTTGTACTTAAATAACATTAAATATCTTAGTGTGCGTAATACTATAATGTGTACATCTATAGATACATTTGTAAAGTCTAAGTTAAACTTTGTTAAATTATTCGAATAATGCGGTATCCGTTAGTTTATAGTGTGTAAATAAATATATTATAAACATACAATTTAAGCATAAAAAGGGATGAGGTTGCTTAAAAAGTCATTTTATTCGTTCCTGTACGATATAATTTATCATTATTATCATTAAAATCTCGATAAAGTAAATCTCAACAAATAAATATTATACCAATTGCAGTAATGTCTATGATTATCTATGATCGTTACTGTAAAAACCACAATAGATAATGTGGTGGCAACCCAAGAAGAAAACATCTCAACACAGAGTGGATATTGTAATATAATTRCCGTTATATTAAGTAATAGTTTATAAGCAATGGAGTAATTTATATAAATAGATAAGGGTAGTTTAATATAATGTATAAAGTATTTGACCCATTCTATTGAATATCGATAATGAGTATTCCAGGCCTCATTATTAAAAATCTAACGGCAAAGATGTAACCACATTCATTCTTATTATAAGTATGGTGACCAGACGTACTCTTTTTTGATGTGTGTATGTGTGTCCTAGTGTCCTTAACAATAGTGTTAAGTACATGAAATTGTACTCTTTTTTTCAAAAAAATATAAGCTAATGCGTGTTTATGTATTTTTACTGTTTTTACTGTTTTCACTGTTTTTACTGTTTTTACTGTTTTTACTGTTTTTACTGTTTTTTATATTTTGATTATTACCATCCGTTTAGATATTTACAACAATGGACATAACCAAATAACTACTTAACATAACTGGAGATAATTTTAGAAAACTTTACACTTTGTATTTTTAMCTTTAAAAAATAATTTATACTTTAGTTTAAGTTTACTTAAAAAATCTTAAATTTAAAGCATTTTCATCTTAGACACACACCAAATTAGTTGACATAATTTCAAATAATAAGTTTTAATTGTTGATTATAGGAAAAATATAATAGAGTAATCAGATAAAAAAACAAATATTATATAAATGAAGATGACCTATGGCCGCTAATAGCTATGGTACGGGAAAAATGGGTAGAAAAGTACACACATGACACATTGGTCATGAAAGAGGAGAACCTAAGTTTTAAAATGTACTTTTTTTTTTATTTTTAAATCTGGTCACCTTAATTATAATTCATGTTATTTGTATATCCTTGAATAATGTTATTGCAATTACAATGGACATTAAACTAAATAAAATAAAATATTGTGTGGTAGTTGCAAAGTGGAAAATCAGGATTTTGAGTTAAAACGATTTAATAATTTTCACATAATTAGATGTTTGTCGATATCAGAATGAATGAAAAACATATTATTGTTTTAAAGTTCTTTCTGTATCTGACGCCAACGAGAAATAATAAAATTATACAACACATTTTTATAGATATAATCGTGTTTTATTCATTGATGTTGTAATTGATTACTGTTGAGGATAAAATACATACTAGTTAACAAAATTATAGTATACAAAATAAAAATAAAGTAAAATTAAAATTAAAAAAAATCATGTAAATGCACACTGGGTTAACGTGAACGATCAGTCCAATTATCATCAGTACCATAACACTGCTGTGCTTACATAATTTATTAACATTTTTATATAAACGCGTGTATACTTWAAAAAAAACGTATTTTTAAGTCACGTCGTGTTATTTAAAACGAAAAAGAAACAAAGATTGAAAATAAACCGTACCGTTGCATCGTTGACCGTCCAGATTACGGTGCGTGTCGACGGTATACAGTTAAGGGGTACAGGCAGAAAAGGCAGACAGATTAGGTATACAGGTAATAATAGTCAAGTAAGTTGAGTTATAGGTCGGATTAGGTAAGTACAAAACCTAAACACAACTCAACCGCGTAATGCGCGTTACGACTTATATAATATTATATGGCGTGGTGTGAGTATACCGCGGTCGTTACCAATCCCTGAGCCATTTAGCCCACTTTGGCTCGTGGTAGATGTGCTTGATCTTGTAGACGGGCACGGGATATGGTCTGTCGACGGGCACCGGGACTTTCTTTTCGATGTGCACGGCGTACGGCTTATCAACCGGGTATGGCACGGGTTTCTCRACTGGGTACGCGACCGTCTTGATGACCGGCACCGGATACGGTACACGGACGGCAACAGGTTGCGGTACTCCCACGGCGATCGTCCTGTACACTGGCACAGGTATGGCTCGGTTGATCTCGACATGTTGCGAGATCACGTGTTCTGGTCCGTATGATGGGGCATAAGCCGATCCGTATCTGGAAAAATCGGTTTGAGTTGTAAAAAATGCGTGTCACACTATATCGTAAGTTTATTATAATGGTAGATTATGAGGAGTGTGGGTAGATTTTTTTCCACTTCTACTTCAAAATTCATTGTCAATTTTGAGCGTTGTTTGATAAAAAAAAAAAATAATATACATTATCATTATTTTTATACGTTATTTTTTACGATTTTCCTCATTGTTTATCTCGATGGACGTTTTCACGGGTTTGTACTCACGGCGGCGATCGTTGAATAAACAACTAAATAATTGGTCGCGCCCCACTGTCAACAATACGTCATTTCCGTTCGGTCGAATCGATTACCGAATAACGATTATTACCGTGAAAACGTGCTCGGCCAAAGATGTATTACGTGGTCGTAGTGCACACACAATATAATATTATAATATTGTACAGCAATATGACGAGCAGATGGACGTTAAACCCAGCGAGATTTAAATTTATAGAGATGTCAAACGAGAGAAATTAACGTTGGAACAATTTCAAAAAATATCACGAATTTTCGACTTTCGAGTGGATATAATACAACTCATATCCATATACAGAACTGCAGTCACCGCTCCTAATATAATATTATAAATTATTGTAATACCTACACAGTATACTAACACGCAGATCGGCTTTCTATGTGGATGGACCTCGTGATATAAAATAACACGTTTATAAGATATTTACGTAAGGCTCTGGTTTTCTCTCATTCCGCCATTTGATGTTTACAGTTTCTTTGAATTTTTTTTAGTTATTACGTTTACAAAAAAAAAATCTATTTCGATTATTTACAGTCACATGACTAACCACGCGAGCACACGCCACAATTGTTTAGAGGATAAGTTCGGGATGCCGGCTAATCACTGAGTCCGCTTGGTGGGAATTTTTTGGTATCAGTGTACCTATACCTATGTTTACTTTTTAATAGTTTTTATCGGCTGAATTATCTAATAACCGTTTTTTTGATGTTAAACTTCATAATAATACGTTCAAACATTTTTTCATTCGAATTTACAACTGTTAGTTTACTCGATTCGAAAAGATGACCGTAAAAATATGTGCACGTTGACTGTAAAAGATTTAATCGCTAAATACGTGACCTGCGGGGACCCTGGAGATCCTAACCTAACCCTGCAGTCTTATCCCAATCGAATTAGTTCACKTGATAGGCAGGGTAAGAGACATGCCACAACAAGCAAACAAGTTTCTTGGGGATAAGCATGATTAACTTACCCGGAAACTGAAGGATATGCGGACGGTCCGTATCCGTAGGCGGCAGGCGCTGTGGCGATACCGACTGGGGCAGCGGCAGCGGCATAAGCTGTGGGGACAGCGTGGACGGCTGCAGGAGACGCGTAAGCGACTGGAGCAGTGGCGTGGACGGCTGCAGGAGACGCGTAAGCGACTGGAGCAGCGGCGTAGGCGGACGGAGCGTAACCTTCGGCGGCAGACGGTGCGTATGCTTCGGCGGCGGATGGTGCGTATGCCTCGGCGGGGGTGTCGTGTGCGTATGCTTCACCGCCGGCGACGGCTGACGGAGCGTATGACTCATCCGCGCTGTAATCTTCGACGGCGTCGCGTTTGATGGACTGGTGGTCCTCTGCCGTCTGTTGGTCTTGSTGCACCTTTTGCACATGTTCGGTCGTCGTGTCTTCCGAGCACGTGGCCATGGCCGCCAAACACGCCAGACCCATCAAAATCTGTCATCAAATCAAATAAGCGTCATGCGAGTTTTAAATACGATTGGTGCGAGTATCGTAAATTTTATTTCAACGGACTGACGGTTTCGGTCAGGTTAGGTTATATTTTCCTATTGTAGTCATTGAGGATTTATTGTATAAAATGTTAATTTTTAAGACAAATAACGACTTGTTAGTGAATCGTAGAGATTTCCGGTACAGTTTGATAATACTATTTAACTAAGGATTCGTTGCTAAATGCTAATTGGAAATAATTRCTGAACGATACGATTGYGGGTTAACGGTATTATTAAACACAAAAAAATAATAATACAAARWACTCACGTATATTTTCATCTTGGCCGATTGGTTTCGGTTCGYCTCGATTATTAAGGTACGACAATATTATATTTTATTATGTAGGTATAATATTATTTAAAACCAAACACGATGAGAATGGACGATATGCCCCTTGGAGGTGTTCGCACTGTGGCGTGTGCTGTTGTTGACTGACGATTTTCACGGAGCAATCGGATTATATATACCACTTTGGTTGGACGTATTTTTCTATAAAAAAAAAAGACTTTCACCCGGGCAACCGGGGAGACCGTCCAGGTCCATCATCTTGAGCACGCGTGCTCGCCAAACAAACCGGTCGACGGGAAGACGTTCGTCCCCGCGATCCCTTGTCAACGGTATCGGCACGCGGATGACGTCGGAGACTTCACGGCATAAAGAGTCCGTGTGTGACATAACTGCCCGGATAAACCGGTAGACACCGATCGCGGCCTATAAGGAATAACACAACGGACGACGTGTGGTGTGTGAAATCACCACTTTTTCAAGAAAAGGTGACCGACGTGACGCTGTATAGCTATAATAGTATATAATACGCTGTTCCGTATACCACACACCCGACTCTTCTCTTTATAACAGCAATATCCATAAAATAATATTATATATTACCGAATAATTCGACGATTTTCTCACGACGACGTCTCATCATTATAAATTAGGTATCCACTAAAAACGTTATTCGCTTGCAATATTATATTTCTGTAATGTTTATTAGTTTGAAATATTGAGTTGATGACATTTACATCAAATTTATGAATTGTTCCGGGTACCACTATGCACAGATGCTTTCGATTATTATTGCGGTTCTATATAGTATATAGACTAATACTGTATTTTTATTATAGTGATATTTGAAAACGAAATGTATCTACGTTATGTTTATAGGATTGAGCTGCTTGAGAAGAAGAGTATAACTCAATAACATTTTGTAATTTGCAGATTTATAAAGGGAACTATGGTCGTTACTATGATATGCTTCACGTAAAAAAAAAAAATACGTAGGTTGTTATGTTTAATACATTTTTTATATAATTTATATAAATTCTATTTATCCGGAAATTCGGAATCACGCATTAGTACCTGAAATATACAAGATGCTTATAGTAAGTACCTTAGTTTAATATTTACTACACTAATATAATAGCCAATAACTTATTTTATATTTTATACAATATCTATGTTAAATTTTAGACCTCGTACAATTTGTTTACCTACATGATTAATGAATAATACGAAGAAAATAATCTTGATATTTTAGATTCTAAGTGGAGCGAATATCATGTTTTTTTTATAAAACACTGATTAGTGATTAGGTAGGTAGATACTAACTACTAGATATATGGTAAATACCTACACGTTTTGTTATACTGGGGAGTAGGGTCTGGGGCATATAAAATATTAATCGATCTCAAAATAACTATAACTAAACATCTATAAAATACTAGAGTGAAACCTCACTGATGAAGCAGTTATTAATTGTATACGATTTGTGTATAAAGAAATATAATTAGTAAAATAATGATAAAGGATACAAAATATTACAAATATGGATGATTGTGAGGTTTAAACTAATTACACACCCGTTGAACTAATGAGTGTCATTGATGAATATTATATATACYTACCTATATATAATATGTTGTAATAATATATTCTAAATTAGTATCATATAACAATTAAATAAACGTTAAACGCTTAATAAACATGATAATTATATAAAATACAAATATAATATTAATGATAGAAACATTTAAAAAAATACTTAAAAATGTATGAAATTTCAATTTACATATTATATCATTGTATATTTGTATCAATCAGTTTAACTGAAAATTTGCTTCACCTTGTTGAATATTTTTGAAAATATATTAAATATTTATTTAATATTTTTGTATGGAATAACTGTACTTTGGTTTTTAAATACTTTATTATTCAAAGAACCGTATATTTAATTTATTTAATTTTGTGTACCTATATAAAATAATGCAGACAGGCCTTGATTTTAGTTCTACAAAATAAACTATATGGAATATTATGAAAGACATTTGAAAGCAATCCCCACACCAGTTCTCACAGAAACAGGAAAAAAGGAAAGGCCAGTTTTTTTTCCAAAATTTAACTTACAAGTATTAGGGATACTCGCGAAATAAGTACCTACGTTTACTATTTGGTACTGAGTTATATCCTGACTATGTCTTTAGTTCATAAAGTACAATTTAGAATATAAATATTACATATCATGAGTAGGTTTAAGATGTACATGACTAAATTTACTTAAAATGCATTTATAAATTAAAAGAATGGTTCGCATTGGTTCGGCATAAGCCGGAGTCTTAAAGGCTCAACTTTGAGCTCGTTGACTGTATAATTTTATATGTGAAACTTAAAAAGAGGCAGTGAATGGCGTGGACCGATATGAACACTAAAACTTATGGTACCTAAAAACACATCAGTGATACAAGGACAGATGCTTTTATTTAACCATTCAATAACCCGTTAAGGAGCTTATAGTTAAAACCCGCAGTAAACCTTGGTTCAGCCTAAAAATAATCTGTTAAAGCGCAAAAACTTTAGCCAATCTTTTGTAAACAACGTTATAAATCATCAGAAATGTAGGGATCAGATACAATAACGACATACTAAAAAAAAGAACGATCAAAATTATAAAATAGCAAAAAATAATAAGCTATTAAGAATATTTGATTATTAATAATTGGCATAGGCGTAACTTGGCGGGGGCGAATGGGGGCAATTGCCCCCACAAACTGAACTATAATATTAGTTAATTTCAGGCTGTTCTGAGGCCTATAATAAATAATAATACCTAAAATGACGTATTTAATAGCAGCTGGTATGTAAAGGTTCTTTGGCTACAATCACATATACTATATAATAATATAGTCTATAATAGTTTAGTGGTATATACTTAATATGTGGTTACACTATGATGTTCACTATCTTATCAGTTATTCACATTATCATTGCACATTTGCACATGTCATAGAGTAATATTACYCTATGGCACATRTAAGAATTTTAAAGCGATAACTGATAACGGTCGTATAGAATATGTCATAGGTTCGGTTCGGTTATTCGTATAGAATATATAGAACTATGATAGACGTTTTTACAACTTTTTTTTAACTTTTGAAATGAAAATGTGTAGAGGTTTGCAAAAATTGTTTTTGCCCCCACGTGAAAAGAGCCCAAGTTACGCCTATGATAATTGGAATGAGTATGTAAATGGTATAGCAGATGTCACTAATCGTCAGTATACCATATTGAATAATAGCATTGAATACAGAAATAGTTATTTCCGTAGTAGGTACTTTCAAAATTGTAAATACAATTAATGGGAATTTTTATGATTTTAAATATGTACCAACCACATAATTATGTAATTTAAAAAGTAACTTTACTTCCAATTCATATTTTGACGTCACGACATAAGCTAAAAATATATTTTGCATTAATTTTTATTTTTAATATTCATATAAAATCAAGTTCAGTTTATGAGAAAAAATATTTATACAGGTTATATTTCCACTTTCTATTGTTTGAAACTTGTATAAACTATATTTTATAATTACTGTAAATAGGTTTCCTTATTTAAAATTTTAAACAATAATTAATATTGACTAAACTATTTCAATTCAAAAGAAATTTATCTAAAGTTTTTGGAGTTTTATCTATATTTCCGAAACAAATATCTTACATAGGTATCTAGCAGTCTTATGAGAATATAATATATTGTCAAAAATGTTTAGGTATTAAATATTGATCAAAGAATATTTAAATAAAAATATTATGTAATTTATTTTTAGTTTTTATAATAGGTATTATTAGAGTTGATGTACTTATGTATTGTACTTTATAATAATAATATTATATAGTAAATTTTATTGAAATACTTCGAATTAAAAATTAATAAAACGCCGTATTTAAATTTGTTTTACTTAAAAATTAATTTAACAATTTACTATTGTAAAATATGCAATAGCAAGAATTCTAAAACCCAATAAATTCTGTGACATACCTAATGATTATATGTTTGCTGTAATTAATAACTTATAATTTTTAAATTTATTACAAATAAAATAAAATAATTTTAAAATCATAATAATATATAAAAAAAATATTTTTAAGTACCAAATAAAATATATGTATATTGTTATTGAGTTTAGTTTATCACAACTTTTTTGCTACTATTTTACCTCCAAAAACTATTTGCCTTATTTCCATCATACATTATTCATTTTTTTTTTTTTTTCAAAAAAAGCGAAAAATATAATTTTACATAATATTTAATAATATATATTGAAGTTAAAATGTATTGAATACCTTGATTTTTTTTTATATGCCAAAATGTATCATACTTTGATAATTAAAAATGATCATCTATCTGATTATAAGTTGTCCAACATATATATTTTATATTACACCAAACCATCAGCTTYCTATCGCTGACATTAAATTTGTCACCTCGTTAATTAAAAAATTCAGTAGTTATACATCGTGCATCAATAGGTAATCCTTGAAATATTTTCACCTCTTGAAATTTCTCAATGAAATATATCAATATCGTATTAATAATACCGTTAAGTCATTCAGTAATTTTATGAATGGTGCTTGCATTTTTTAATGAATAATTATTAATTSCATACATTCTGAACTTTTATTTACTCGTCTCTTTCACGGTTATGGAGAACTGGTTTGAAACATCATATACGTGTGTAATACAACTGATACAAGAAACAGTGAACAAAAATAAAAGACCATTTATAATGTCAACAAACACTGATGACAATTTTTTATTTTTTATTTAACAGAAATACGAGCTGTAAGTAAAACAGGTTTTGCCAAAATCAGTAGAAGCTAACATACGTAATCTGAATACATTGTAAGTATCAGAGACGATTATTTCCTAAATCATGTGATTTCCTTGTGATACCATTCACTTTCTATTATTATTCGTTAAAGATGACAAAGTGACGTACTTCGTACACTTTTTTTTTTAGTTTATAATCATAGCTACATATATAATATTCATATTGAACGTTAACACTTAACATTAAAGTCTGCTTTGATTTATAGTCAGCCTTTCATAATTTGTATTAAATATATTATTTTAGCCTATATTTATCGATTTTTAGTAATTAGTCAACTAAATGATGGGTCCCTTCGAACGGGCGATTGTAAACCTTACCAGAATACTGGTCAAGATAAAAAGACAATAATAGGCCTATGGTAAACTCCGCCAGTTTCTTTTTCTTACCTGTAATAAGTATATGTAAACTCCACCAGTTTTTTTTTTTTTTTTTACCTGGTCAGAGCTCACATCACAGTAAGGTTCTTATCAAATTTCAAACCCAAATTTATATAAAACTAAATGGCATATCTCAAGTAAATAAGCTAAAAAATTCGAATAAAAAAATGCCAGTGTTACAGGATATATCTATTCATAGCAAACTAACAGAGAAATACAAGACTTAGAATATTTGCAAATTGTATCACATCATTTTATGTATTTTATACATGACAATATTTATAACGATTATTTATTTATTATTTATTATATTTTATTATTATGAAAAATATAATTTTATATTATTAGGTATAGGTAACGATTATTTATTATGATTTTTTTAGTAATTTAGTATGATTTAAATATTTAATGTGGACGATATGTTATGATATTATATTATATTGCAATTTATTTTTTTGATAATATATCATATTGATTTTATACTACTATTACTACCTACTACTTGATTTTCTTCACTGGCAAAGTTTACATGAATTCAATTTTACCTGATTTTTTTTTCCTGGTAGAGTTTACATGAGTCCCCTTGACAAGGTTTGTGTTAAAATCCATTTAGGTAACCTGATTTATACTTTTGATATCATGGAACCGATGAACATTACATTTTTACTATATGGATATTACATATATCGAAAATCAAGTTTGACGTAAAATTGTGTAGGACAAATTTTTGTGAATTATATTCATGTTAATTATTATTAGTTATTTTCTGTATACTGTTACTACATTGAAAAAATAGTAGCAAATATTGGGACTTAGTCATTATAAAACATTAAAATCCTTGTTATCGTGTCTGTATAACAGGGTTGTTTTGTGTACAGCTTTAGGCATACTACAGCGCAAGATAATGGTAATCACATTATTGCGAATTGGTAATGAACATTAAAAGCTAAAAACGAGTTATAATTTTATAACTGTATCCACTTTAGTTTCCATCAACATTGGAAGTCGAAGGATATTTTCTACTGAATTCCTATCTATTTAAGTTGTGTATGTGTGTGTGTATGTGTGTATGTGCATGTTTTTTATTGGGCTACATGGAATGAAAGAAACTAAATAAATGTTAAACTATTTTTTTTTTATAATATACTTTGTAAAATAATATAACGTACATACGTACAATATTCACCTCTTCTTTTTAATATTTGATCAATGTTTTTAGTATTAAAATATGAAATATTTAATGTACGTTTAATTATATTTTTTTCGAATACAAGTCWGTTTAATTTTAAGTCACTAATTATTATAAAATATTCCAATTTTTAAAATTGCATGAGTCTTTACATTTGCAAAAATATATATGTGGAAAAGGTGTAATCAAACCGTCTAGATAATTTAATATTTGCTATCAAAATTGTACAAAATCAAATACTTACTTGTAATAGCACGTAATGGGCTGAAAAATGCTGATTTAAAAAAAATAAAAAATAAATATATATATATATATATATATATTTATGGTTAATTATTTCATAGAAAATTTAACATGGAAATAAAAACATAACACTGTGTCAATGAATCGAACAGTGAAATTCTGTTACAGCAAAATATTATATTCCATTTCAATAAATGTCACTTAAAGAATGCACGCATAAAAACCGGATTTACTAGATACTAGAAGTCAACTACCTAATGCATGTCAATAAATTACTCATACCTACTTCAAACTTATACAAAAAATTGCCCATATGTTTAAATGTATATTACATTGTTTTACGATTTCCGGTATAATCGCAACGAATTACACATTATATTATTATATTCTATCAGATTTACAGTTCCAGCCAGGCTGTTATCTAACTGTTTGGCTTTTTAATTTTTATATAATACATACTCATTACTCAAAAACTCGAATAAGTTAAAATTTGTAAGTTTTCACTGATACATTTGGTCTTAAAAAAATAAATAATAACAAAATATTATACTCTATTATTTGACTGATCAGTGATGAATTAAGAATTGAATTAGTTTCATCATTTAAAAAAAGTATGATGAAATATAAAAGGACTATGTTAAAGCTTAAGGAGATCATATTAAAAAATCGGAAAAAACAATACAAAACATTTTTTTTTTTTTAAGACCATTAAATTGAAAGCAAGTTGATTTATCTTTTAATACATTCATATTTTATATTGTACAGACGCACAGTGATAAGTTACCTACTGAAGGTAAAAAAAACATTTCATTTATATATTTATATATTATATAGAAACTAGAATATATRTATAGAAACTTCAATAACAAAATATTATAATGATGATATGAARAAAAAAAACGAAAATTAAACAATTTACTTTGAATCATTTGAAAACTATTCATACAAATACAATATTTGATGTGCTTGGTAAGTAAAGTCTACCAATCAGATATAATCTCACAATAAGAAAGAAAATATAATTTATTAATTTAGGGTACACTATCGTTTAATTTAATATATTATTTTAATGATGTGCATCAATGCATCATCATCTTCCTATACTAACTTCCTTTCTTAGGAGCTGTCGATCATTAAGAGTACGTAACAGTGGTATTTATTGTCTCCGTCTTACCAGTGCGTAATRTAGTAAATTTACGCTCAGCGGAACACTTGTAGCTCCTTTAGTTTAAAAATTACATTGAATCGACCTATTATGAAAGTGTATGGTAAGTACATTATCTGTGTTTGTACGTTGGTTTTTTACGATAATTCAATTTTTAAGTGAGTTATGACTTATGAGCATATACAGTACATTAAAAATGCTCATAACTCACTTAAAAATTGAATTATTGTAAAAAACCAACGTACAAACACAAATAATGTTCTTACCATAAAGTTTCATAATAGGTCAATTCACTGTAATTTTTAAACTAAAGGAGTACAAGTGTTCTGCTGAGCGTACATTTGCTATATTACGCACTGGTAAGGTGGAGACAACAAATACCACTGTTACGTACTCTTAAGACCACCACGTCACATGTCTAATTCTCCAAATTTCCCCAACAGTTGTTCGTGTTTTGCTGTCTGTCTCACTCTATTTTTCGTTTTTTATCTACCCATCTTAACCTATAATATTAAATTATGGAAAACAAAATATTATGTATAAATATAATATAATATGTAAGATTCATTTAACGTAATATAATTTTATATTATACTTATCACATATTTAAAATAAACTAAATATTATATTATATGTATTATGTATATTTCTATCTCGATTACCATTATTCCTACATGAAATTAAAGCACGTCAGCGAAAATCCTCTTACCACCTTTCCAAAATGTGGAACATAYGATTTGCAAGATAATAGTTCTTAACATATATATTTATTAAAATCACCATACAAGAGTAATTAATTATTATGTAATCAAAGAGACCTTATTTACGGCTGAGTTGTGTATTGAAGGGTATTATGTTATCTATACCTTTATGGAACATGAACGCAAAGATTGATTGTTGTTAAAAATGTTAACAATTTGGTTTCGAAATGATCATAATAGGAAGAAGATCGGATAAAAATAAAAAGAAAATGTGGTTAATTGTTGTGTAGTAATAATAGTCTTAAGTACATAGAAAAATGTGGTTTCTTAGTGCTTAAGCAACCTTCTAAAACTATTGTATGACGATATGATGACAACAATAAACAGAAGATTAACATGTTGATAATTGTATCAAGATTTCCATCAGAGTATAAAAGACAACAGATCTGTCTAAATGTGAAGTATAAGCACTTTGACTTTCGATTAGTTAGTACAGCGATAACTTAAATTTTTTTTACCTATACTTACACCAACAACATGATGAAATCTTTGGTAAGTACAGGATTTAACTACAACTCTTACGGTTTTATCGTATGTACATTATACGTATGTAAGCCTTTAAAAAAAAATAAATTTATAATAACAATATAGACACGTAATATAGGTACCTATATGATCATCAAATATATAATTGAATGTAGGAAATAAGTGTAATTAATTGTCCATAGTTAATAAAACAATAGATTTATATAAACCCTATTTTTCTTAAATTTTATTGAAACTTATTAAATTCATATCAAACGCGATTATACAGATTAACTTTTTGTTTTAATTGTACGAATACCTATTTTGTTAAATTATATAGTTAATGCATTAATCTCAATTTATTTTCATAGTTTCTAAATTACAAACTGTTCGTAAGAAAAGGTTTCCACTACGTAGGTAATAGGGATAGTACTATTCTAGTATAGTAGTACACTATACTAGAATAGTATAGTAGTACACTCATGTAGCAGTATTATATATAAATTAAAATAAAACTAAATATTGAATAGGTCATATTACTTTAACTTTTACTTAACTTAAGACTTAAATTTCAAAAAATTATCATTTTCTACATTCCAAAAGTAGTCACTTATCAACAGTTTCTATACCACTAATTTGTTATGCTTTTGGTATATTCTTGGGTTTTAGACGAATATGCCAATTGTACTATAAATGTTTTAGGTATCAACATAAAATATAATACCAATCTAAATAAGCACCTATATTTATAAAAAGTTTTTTAATTTTTATTATTACTGAGAAATTTCTAAATTTACAATCGATGTGTACAAATGAGCATAATAAGTAATTTAAATTAATGAATTTAATAACATTGGCTTGAATGACTTGAAGGGGCAAATCGTTCAGCAACAGTGCCTACTACTTTGATGGGTTTTGATGAGAAAACGTTTTTCTTACAATTTATTTATTTATTTAATATGTTTAAATAATTTATTATTATTTAAACAATAGCGTCCCTTGGCCATTTTCGTTTGAGACTTCTTGGTGGGATGGTGTAAGATGACATACGGGAAATTAGATGTTAGTGTGTTCGGGTTTGAGTCAAGTTTGGAATACCAATTTTTGTAATTCCTTATAGCTACTTTGGTAATGGTTAGTATTTGAAGGTCATTATGTAGAAAATTGTCTTATACTAGTGGGCTCCAGTGACTTTTCTTAGACATATAGATTTAAATATTTTTATCGGTCTTATGTTAGAGGGTTTGGCTTGGCCCCAGATCTGAGTACCATTTGACCTTGTAAAAGTTAAGCTGTAACCAACTATAATTTTTTTATAAATAATTCTAATGAATCATATAACCCTAATTACAGGTATTTATATTAGTACCTAATTTATTGTTGTACAATTGTACATTATAGGAATATTTTTTAATTTTAGTTTTTAGTTATGTTTTTGTATTGTTGAATTGTTTTTTATTTTATAATATTGGAATAAATAATAGCCTACGTCCTACTTTGTTTAAAGATTAAATATTATAATTAATTCTATAAATTAAATTTTTAAAATGCATAGAGGCATTAATAGTGATTAATGGCTCTACATAAAATGTAAGTTAATGTATTAGAATAAATATTTAACATAATTTAGTAAAAATTGTGTTCAATAACTTTGGACGGAGTAATTATTTATCATTATTTTTATAAACAATAATTCGTAATAATAGGCAAATTTTCGAACAATAAAGAATGTAATTATGGATTTATCTTTGTCTAATAAAACACTTTTATTTTTTTATAGTTTATCATGACGATCATCGTTTCCGTGGCCGTGGCCGACGAAAAGGGGACAGCAAAACAGGATAAACGTCAAATATCTTCGTACAATGGCGGTTCTGCAGCTATTGCACAGGCGTTACAAACGCCGCAGCCGACACCTGCTGCAGTTTCTGTCAATAATGCACCTTCGTATCAGCCTAGTTATTTACCAACTTGTGTAGTACAACCGTATAGCAACACCATTTTCTCGAATCCATCGGTACCCGTATACCAGCCTCCATATTATAACGGGCCCACCGAATCGCTTGTACCACAATACCAACCGCAGCAATATCCGATCGCATACCAGCCACCGCAATATCCGTTCACTTATCAGCCATCGCAATATCCGGCCACATATCAGCCATCACAATATCCAGCCGTGTACCAGCCGTTACAATATCCAACAACGTACCAGCCATCACAATATCCGGCCACGTATCAGCCGTCACAATATCCAGCTACGTACCAGCCGCAGCAATCTGGCCAGAGTCCGGTGCCTTATTCGTACAGTTACTTCTCTTCAGCGGCCAACAACGCCAACAGCAACGCTCAGGTGTCCACCACCAAGAAGTAGTACGTGCTTTTAGAACATTAATCGATCCCGAGAGGATACCTATACCTAGGTTAATAATACTGTCATGCGTATTTCTGTCAAAATATAAATCATAATAAATACAAACGGTTTTCAAGAGAATTTCAATCTTTTTTATTTTATTAATAAACACATAATATAATATTTTATGATGATGCACAAATATTTATATACAAATAAAATAAAATAAAATAATATGATTATTAACAATGATTTACAAATACAACGATTGTCAATGGCGACATAGCAATAATTATAATTCAGATTATATGATATTTTTACATCATTTCAACAGCGAGTTGGTTGACGAGTGCAATATCATCAATATTATCAGTAGATAGACGGGGCGAAGTAAGGGGCCTTGTAGATTGGTGCATGGTGGAAGGACAGAGGGGAAGCGTAAGAGATGGGAGCGTGATAGGGGAGGGGTGCATGGTAGGAGAGGGGAGCGTGATAGGGGAGTGGAGCGTGGTAAGAGAGAGGAGCGTGGTAGGACAGAGGGTAAGACAATGGTGCGTGGTATTTCAATGGCGAGATGAAGGATGTGGGCAAAGCCAATGGGGCAGCTGGGTAGGTGAGTGGCGCGTGATATGCGGAGTAGCCGTAACCCAGTCCGTAGATGCTGCGCTTGTCGGTTGTCTTGACAGGAGAAGCTTGTTGCTGTTTGGCCTCTTCGGCGGAAGCGCAGACGGCAAGAGCCAACAATAAAACGGCAGCTACGTACTAAAAAGAAAAGAAAACATAAATAATGTCACCGTCAACGGGTATAATAACTATAGTTTATTCATTATTTCAAAACAATAAATAACAACATCCCAAGTGGTAAGAGTTGGTACAGTAAAAAGCAATAATATATTGTATAGAAAGTACACATTAAAATTTGTATTATTATTGTATGGCCTATAATATGATCGTAGTTGTAAATTTGATAGATAATATTATTATATAGTCAATGCCATCAYCGAATTGAAAAGATATTTTACTATTACCTGTCCGGCCCCTCACAAGCACTGAAGTACCTATGCTATAGAATTTTGTAATAATTTATATAAATTTGTTCTGAATTAATAGCAATAGCTAGTAAGCTGATATATAATATCGACAAAGACTATAACCATTGATCTAGTATTAACAAACGATTTAATTTTTTTTGACTAGATAGTCAAACAAACAATAATTTCAACTAAACCTACCCTATACCTACTATATATAATATAAKAATTAAGTTAAACACAGAAGATATTCTTATGAGGCTTAAAATAAATCACATCCATACAAATGTACGAAATGCGATTGTGATTTAAACAACAGTGTGTTTAAATAATATGCAAAAAAATAAACTAAACATCTATGACTTTTCAGATATCACTCATCGCGAAGTATATCTAAACTTAAAAAAAAAATAGTATACTCAAGATATACGGATTAATTTTAACACGATTTAACCTAAGTGCGAGAAAAAAAACAAACAAAATAAACTTACAGATTTCATGGTGGTTTGTTTTAGTTGATCTGCAAAATGTGGATGAGTGATAATATTGTATTGTGCTTGCTGTAGAAGCTGATTGATTTGTGATCTATTTCAAATAACAGTCGTGCGTTTTATAGTTCAGCAAAACTAGATCAACGGAGCCAGTCAAAGCAGCCGCCCCTGTGCTTAATACTCAAACTGGCCATCTAGTGGTCAGAAAACTTGTTTGCGCTTCGTCACGTCGTGCTATAAAACTATTTTGTCCTTTTTAACACGTAAATTGCATTTCATAATCAATATTGTTATGCACGTAAGACGTACGCATACTTACTATAACTTCTGTAACGTTTGGCGGTCGCTAGTCTGTAGCCTTTGACTTGCACCAGATATAAAATTAAGATTATAAAAATTAAACAAATATTCTCATTTTGAGGACTCCTGCACATGTACGAGCAACCAATATAATATTATTGATTATATCACAATATAGCTTGCTAAAAATAGTAAGAAAGRTATAAAAAATGGATTTACAATCTAGAAATGGGCGTAATTTTCTATATCTCATGTAGGTACTTGGTTATATTTTTAATTGTCATATATTTTTATCACGGCGTGGGTTTTAGGCAATACCCGAAGAAACGTATAGACGATGTTTATCAACACGAAATTATCAATGTTATTATTTATTAATTATTGTTATTCAATTTAATTGCGCACGTGATTTTGGAAAGAGCAGCATTACTTCATATTTACAATAATTTGGAGCTAGCGGGTAAAACTATGAGGTGGGAATTATTGAAAACATTTGATTTAAAATGTAATTCTATAGAAACATAGAGTACCTAATTGATATCTGAATGTATAGTATACAATATACTTAAAATATTTAAATATTAGACTTCCATGAACGATCTTAAGATAAATATAAATATCTTACAAAATTCAAAAAAATATYATTTAATGATGTACTTTTATGGAGAACAATATTTAGTATTAAATATTAATGTTTAATTTAGCTGTTAAAAACTATGTGTACTTAATAGTAATTACTTAACCAAGTTAACCAACAATTAATTTAACTTTTGACTTTTTCTTATTAATGCATATTAACTTAAATTAACCTTTAATGACTTATAAAAATCATCAACTTCTCCAGATTTATATTAAAAAGTTTAATTTTAAAATATTAACTTAACCTTTCCAACTTTGTTGAAACGTACTTAATAAAACATGAACAAAAGAGGTGTGCTTCTATATTTTATAATATTTAGTATTTTATTTTTGGATTTTTAGTATAATAGAATTTTCTATTATAGACGACTCAAAATATAACCTTCGTGTTCAATAAGTAATTTATAGGTACCTACATGAATGATAAAAAGCTTTATATTATTCAAAAATTAGAATTGAAATACACATTAAACTATATATTTTGTGTTCAAAATTGGATCAAACATAATATAAAATTTTATTCAAAATAAAAAAATATACATCCTTGATCTAAATAAAACTTGTTTAAATATACGATAGTAAAAATTACCAGTAAATCAATATCAGAAATCTAAAAATCTTTTTCATAAAATATTTTATCCACTTTATATAATTTCATAAGATATAATATTATATCAGACATAAAAATCTTTTTATTAATATTAATATTAACTAGTGTACACTGTACGGGAAAATAAAGTAATCGGTTTAAACTTCATAAAATGCATTTGACTAACATTAATAAATATATAATATTATACATACTAATTCCACACATCCTTATCTGTATATTAACGTTGTTACTATTATTATATTCTTTGGCTTTTTTTCTCCTATTCTGTATACTCAATATTTTATGATCTAATATCGTATTGTTAATTTAACTACGATGTATATAATATAATTTTCGAGCTGTAATAATTGATACTAAAAGCTAATAAAAAAAWATATATACATAATATTATTTTATAAGATTATAAAAGAATATCATATTGTATTATTTATAAATTTAGGCAAACGTAGAAGTATAAAAATTTTAACGGCAGGTTATAAACCAATTACGTATTTAGGTTATCAATAAAGCTTTTAATTTTTATTAATTTAATTAATAATTTACATTGTATTTTATAGTTGACTGTAGGGATTCAAAAAAAATAAAAATAAATATTCAGAAATATGACTTGTGCGCAACTTATAAAGTACCTAGTGATATGCTACTGTAAATACGAAAAATATAGATTTTCTATATAAGTAAAAAAAACCTAGTCCATAGACACTGAAAAATGTAGAAACCACAAAAATCAATGTATACATAATAATATCACTCATTATTTGTAGAAAAAAATGTTCTTTTTGATTTGTAAAATATTTTTAAATTATCTATATAGAAGTTATATTAATTATTTATTAATTTAATCTWTTATGTAAAAAAATTTAAAAAATACCACTTTGCTTATTTCTTCAGTATGGGTTTATTTTAATCAGTATATAATGTAAACAAAATATACATTTATATTCATTGGAGGCATAATTTATATTATTTAACTAGGCAAAAATGCTGTGCACCTCATAGAAAACACATACTTCTCCTGTTTTACAGATTTGATATTAAATTGAAATTGATTTACATTTTTATAACTCAAATAAAAGCATTTTGCTATTTGCGACAGTTGTAGTACACTCCTATCAATTTATCATATTATATCTGAATGCCTTTGAATCGGACAAAGGTGAAGCTGGGGTATCAAATATTATATCGGAAGCCCTCCATCCAGACAACTTAAGTCGCATGATGTCATTTTTGATCAAGACCAACCTTATTAATAGCTTATAATTTATTATGTTGTAATATGTATAATAGGTGTATGTAAATAATGTATATAATAATTCTTCCTAAACATGTAAACTGTATCAGCCTGTAAAAAGTACTTAGGTGAATAGTCAAATGTTCCATCACAAAATAATTCCAAACAAAATTGAGTCAAGAAGTTAATATTTTGAACAGTTGTAAGGCAAATAAAATTTTTATTTGCCGGAGCATAGATAAATTGTTGATTTTTATACGTGAAACATTTATCAGTTTCAAAAATCCTCAGTTGTTGTAAAGCGTTATCTAATGATGTTGGAAGTACAGTACATTTTTTCTTCGTTGTTCATACATTGCTATTTGCTTTACTAACTGATTTAAAGTTCTGGTGTCTAATTGCCGATGATTCTGGAGTTTGGAGTAATTCTGTACGAATGATTTTGATAGGTTTACTGAAAACTGATTCCTCTACTCGTCGTTTAAAGTTTTCTCTGAGTACTTGTTTTTCTATTTTATTAGGAGTGTCAGCCGGATGACTATGTATACCTTTTGGGTCAAAAACTTTTTTTTTTCTGAATTTGAAAAAATAAACGTAGTGCAATTTTTGTCAGAAGAGCAGCACCACTTTAAAAGTTGATCGAATTTGCGAACAACAACAAATYTATGTTTATAACCATTAACAGCGGCAAGTTCCTTATTTCTCTCGGACACTATTATACGAATTTCTGAATTTTTTAAATTATTCATTTTAAATTCTAAATTCACACACTACTTAAAAGTCAATGGATAACAGTAAAACACAATAATGCGATCGCAATTTACGTACGAACGGACAGTGGTCGAATTGGAAAAAAAATAAAGGTGGACCCTGCGTCCAAATAAAACATATATGTAATAAACTGTAGACTAATCAGATAAGCTAGTATTTAGGGAAAAACCAAAATAATGTTATAGTATGACTTATTTTATGTAGTATTAATACCAACAATTTTTAGGTTTAAAATAATTTTTATAATACAATCGGCCACGTCGCAAATTAGTATCGTGCGGAATCGTGTGAATGAAAAGGTATAGCGGAATAGTATAATGCGGAATCGTGAATTTACCGTCAGCCAATGGCCTCCGCTTATTTCTAATAATAAAAAAAAGTATTTTGGTGATTCTTAAAATTATATTTCTATGGATTTTAACATTTTGAATGATAAAAGTTATAATTTTTTTTTAATTTAAACTTTTCTTTTAGCTGTATCTGATATATATTTTTTTAACATTTTAAGTACTTTAATGTAAGCTATATTTAACAATTTTCTGAAATACCTTTTAATTGCAAAAAAAAAAACACTAATAATATATTCGTATTCACTATATTATTTTATGAGCTATTTATTATTTGCACCTACTGTAAAAAACGATAAATTATTAAAATGCTATAATGTTTAATAACACATTTTTCGACTAGCTCTAGTAATAATATTGGCTTTTGCCAATTTATTAATTATGTTTGTAAATCACGTATGCTTATTGTAAAAATATCTTTAACGATTGTGTATTAAAAAAAAAAAATGGTTTGAAAAAGAATGTTTTGAATAAAATGAACATATTAACTAACCTATAATAATGTAATTTTTAAAATTATAATATA